AGGAGTGAAGAAGCATTCAGAGTCAAACATGAAGATACTGAGGAACAAACAGGTTGGTTTTCATTCTAAAAGCTGAACTATTTTGTCTTCAACATTTTCTTGATTAATTTGCCATTGGCAGGTGTTTTTGTACATATTCTGCCCTCCTGCAGCTTTCACTCCTTTCTTTTGTGAAAAGATTTCAGCTTCATTTATTTTTATTTTTTCTTCATGTGGTCTTATAATGTTAGTAAGATTTGTACATCTAACCTGTCATAATTGAGAAGAACCAATTGTTTCTCATGGGGACGCAAGTGATTTTCACCATTTACAGGGGGTTGTCGGTGATTTAGGGTGCTTTCACACCTGGCCTGTTGTGATTTTAATGCAGTTCAAATCCAGGATGTCGGTGTTTATCTCTCACCACCCATCTAAAAATCCCCGGCCGAATTACCTACTGTTTTTTGACAAACACCAAGGTCGTGTGGTAATTTAATTGCTGTACGAATCCACATTTCTGAGTTTACGAGAAGAAATCGATTCAAAATTCAATGTTTAAACCCTTTTTGAGCACTCCCGAACACCGTAAGGCAGCAGCAGGTATGCAATACAATTTTAAAATGTGTATTATAAACAGATGTATACATAACTATATCGCGTATAATTATATACAACTATAGTGCATCTATTTTCCTATTTTTAAACAGGAGATATAAATAATCAAATAATAAATATGATTATATATTATAAAATATGCTTGGAATAATAAGAATACATTTTGCATAATAAGGATTTTTAAAATACATTTTACACAATAATCAAAATACATTTGTAAATAAAATTCATTTTATTTACAGCAGACAATCATGCGTTCCCGGGTTCGTAGGATCACAGAACTCGCTTCTCCACTGTGAATAAATCGCCATCTGAATCCATGAGTTTTATCACTGAGCTGATAATGTACATTTATTTTTACAGACGTCCATATGAGGAACAATTACCGTCCGACTCCGGCTTTAAATCTCTAACTGTATGTAGGTGGTTGATATGACAACTGTCCGTCTTGACCAAGTGCAGGTAGGGGTAGCTGCAGCCTGGAGCAATGTGTGCGCCGAAAGAATAGGGCTGGGTAAAAATATTGATATCTCGATTTTAATCGATTCTCATTTTTATGAAACGATATTGATTCTTAAATTCCAAGAATCGATTAGTCTAGCCTGTTTTCAGTTAATGGACGGTACATTGAAGGGCACCTCCCATCCAATAAATCGCAATAAGCAGGGTTGGGAGGGTTACTTTTAAAAATGTATTCCATTACAGTTACAAATTACTTCATTAAAAAAGTATTCAGTAATGTAATCCAAGTACCACAGTATGAAAGTAATGTAATCTGATTACTTTTGGATTCCTTCAAGTCACATATGTAAATAAAATCAAAAAAGCAATACCAAAGTACTTTTAATTATGGCTTTAACATTAAAACTAATCAAAAAACTGTAGTAAAAACTATTTAAAACTATTACAAATCGTGTCTTATTTCACCATCTAGATATTACAGCCCATGTATATATTTATATAAAAGGCTATGCAGGTATCTAGTGGCTATACAGTTTAGTGTTAGTTTTATTTTTATTATTATTTTTTTATTTCTTTAACATGTACAAGGAAAAAACAAATATAGTTTATACAAAAACAAATTACACCATATACATATTAGTCTATTTTAAAATAAGCGTACATGTTGAAGTGTATGTGAAATACTGTGATCTTTCTTTATTTCATTGACTGATCTGGGGTGTGGGGACTCTCGTGTTAATTTTTACATTTTCCAGCACATTTTCCGCTAGAAAACTTACACTGCAGTCATGCACACCATGGAAGTTTAAATCACTAACAGTAAATTTTAGCTAACATGATTTCCATGCTAGTCGTACCTGCAAATGTTCAAGTTGGTTAAGTAGCCTACTTTTTTAAAGCAAGAGTCTTCATGCATAGCTTACGCTGTACAACTGTTATTTCCTTTATCCTCTTTGAAAACAAAATAACTGGGAAATTTCCAGACATGAAAACATTTTTCCCAGCAGGAAGCATCATAATTAATTTACTGTAGCAGCGTCTCATCATCCCGCGTTTGAGGAGAATAATTGTAGATGGGTGTTATTTGCGCACGCACCAGCAGGTGGCTCACGTGAGTCAACATGAGTGTCAACAGAACCATGCAGCGCTAAATATAGTGTTCTCTCAAAATGCTAATTTATTTTATTTTAAATGAAACAACTGTAATCCTGATAGTAGTCCGACTTTTTACAAAATGTAACTGTAATCTGAATACTTTGTTTTTTTGATGTAACTGTAACGAATTACAGTTACTACATTTTTGTATCCTGATTACGTAACGCCGTTACATGTATTCCGTTACTCCCCAACCCTGGCAATAAACATTGTGCTTCGGTTGCTAATGAGCTCTGCTCGCCCCGCCCCTCTCTTCTGTGGGGTGACAAACCGTGCTCTGAGAGACTGTTTACTATAGCCGCGAAACTTGCCAACTAGCACGTTATTAGGAATAGCGATTGCAAAGATAGATCGGGGGCACATTCACAAACAAAAGTATGCCACAGCCACCATTAAAATGTTTATATTTAAAAAAAATGTAATTAATACAAATATTATAATGTAATTGTAACTTTATTATTATAAAAACGTAATTTAGTGTAATTTAAGCAGTTTTATAACCATTGCGTTATGAAATAAATGAACTTTTCCATGACATTCTAATTTATTGAGATGCACCTGTACATGTCTAAACGTATTGATGTTTGTTGCTGTGTGCCATTCAGATGGCACATTAACTTGTATTGGTCTCTCTTTGCTTTAGATCTGATACCACTGAAAGAGAAGAGTCGACAACTGAATGAAATGGAAGATGAAGTTAATAAGAAACATCACAATTTCACTGGAGAAAATTTGTATAATTGCTCAAAGACTAAAAAGTCTTATTCACGAAAAAGAGCTCAAAAGACAGGAGCTGGAAGTCATTTCACCTGCCAACAATGTGGAAAGAGTTTCACTACAAAAGGTAACCTTGACATCCATATGAGAATTCACACGGGAGTAAAGCCTTGCATCTGCCAACATTGTGGAAAGAGTTTCACTACAAAAGGAAACCTTGACGCCCATATGAGAATTCACACTGGAGAAAAGCCTTACACTTGACTGCAAAGGATTTTCATCCAAGTATTAAAATTGTGCTTATATTTACAATTATGGCACTTTGTCCAAATACTATTGAGCCCCAGAAAATGGAGGTACTTTGCTTAAAATGGCTGTAACTACTAAATGGTAAATGTTATATTTTTGTGGAACCTCTTTAAAATAAAGCTAAAAGTCTGGACTTCAATCACATCTTGATTGTTTCATTTCAAATCCATTGTAGTGGTGTATAAAGGCAAAAGCCCAAAAACTCAGTCAGTGTCCAAATACTTCCGGACCTGACTGTGTGTATATTAGGGCTGCCCTCGACTAATGATTTTTCTAGTCGACTAGTAGTTGTTCATTAAAAGCATTAGTTGACTAATCGCACGTTTATTAATAAACTTGACGCCCATATGAGAATTCACACTGGAGAAAAGCCTTACACCTGCCAACAATGTGGAAAGAGTTTCACTACAAAAGGAAACCTTGACATCCATATAAGAATTCACACGGGAGAAAAGCCTTGCATCTGCCAACAATGTGATGGCTGTAACTACTAAATGGTAAATGTTATATTTTTGTGGAACCTCTTTAAAATAAAGCTAAAAGTCTGGACTTCAATCACATCTTGATTGTTTCATTTCAAATCCATTGTAGTGGTGTATAAAGGCAAAAGCCCAAAAACTCAGTCAGTGTCCAAATACTTCCGGACCTGACTGTGTGTATATTAGGGCTGCCCTCGACTAATGATTTTTCTAGTCGACTAGTAGTTGTTCATTAAAAGCATTAGTTGACTAATCGCACGTTTATTAATAAACATTTAAATCATTATAATGAGCCTTTAATTGCCTACATAGCCTAATGAACGCTCAAGTAAACGCATAAAGCTTGCCACAGCGCACCAACGGAAGTAATGATTCTGAATGTTTAAGTGAAAAACAGTAAGGAGAATGCATTAACACCTCAGCAGTGCCACAGACTGATCACCTCCATGCCACGCCATCCATATAAGAATTCACACGGGAGAAAAGCCTTGCATCTGCCAACAATGTGGAAAGAGTTTCACTACAAAAGGAAACCTTGACGCCCATATACGAATTCACACTGGAGAAAAGCCTTACACCTGCCAACAATGTGGAAAGAATTTCACTAAAAAAGGAAACCTTGATGCCCATATGAGAATTCACACTGGAGAGAAGCCTTTCACCTGCAAACAGTGTGGAAAGAGTTTCACTAAAAAAGGAAAACCTTGACCTCCATGCCATGCCGAATTGAGGCAGTAATTAAAGCAAAAGGAGCCCCTACCAAGTATTGAGTACATGTACAGTAAATGAACATACTTTCCAGAAGGCCAACAATTCTCTAAAAATGTTTTTTTTATTGGTCTTCCAATAAGTATTCTAATTTGTTGAGATTAGGGCCATTCGCACCGCTTTAGTTCCAGAACTAAATGTACAGTACTAAAGTACTGGGACGATTTTGCGTGAACTATTTCCCAGTACCATTTAAAGGGTTGCACTCGCACCGACAGTGTGTACTAAGTAGTGACGTAAGCCGTTCGACAGCAACGTCAATTGTGTGCGGCTTTCAACAACAGAAACAAAGAAGAACAACATTAACAAAAAGGAAACCTTGATGCCCATATGAGAATTCACACTGGAGAGAAGCCTTTCACCTGCAAACAGTGTGGAAAGAGTTTCACTAAAAAAGGAAAACCTTGACCCCCATATGAAAATTCACACTGGAAAGAAGCCTTAACACATTGGTCTCACACTCAATTCCTGGAGGGCCACAGTGCTGCACAGTTTAGCTCCAACCCTAATCAAACACACCTGATCCAGCTAATCAAGCTCTTCAGGATTACTAGAAACTTCCAAGCAGGTGTGAGTTGGAGGGGGCTTTCACACCTGCCTCATTTAGTTCGGTTGAATCGCACTAGAGTTCGTTATCCCCTTTGGTGCGGTTCGTTTGGGCAGGTGTGAATGCAGCAATCGCACTCGGGTGCGCACCAAAAGCGGACCAAACAAGCGTACCGGGACCTTGAAGAGGTGGTCTCGGTACACTTTCAAACGAACTCTGGAGCGGTTCGTTTGTGGTGAGAACATGATCCGACCTCGAACAGACCCAACTGCAAAAAGTACTGATCATTTTTGCGCTGTGCATTATGGGACGAGGAAGTGTTTGTTGACAGTTTGCACTTTAGCATGGCAGCTCGCGGACAAACTTGGAGTTGTGAGGAGATGCGGAGCCTCATAGAAATTTGGTCTGATGACCATATTAGGTCCCAACTTTCGAAAACTCACAAGAACAGTGCGATCTTCTCATTGTTTAGCAAACAGCTCAGGGACAGGGGGTTTGATAGATCTGTGGAACAGTGCCAGGTTAAGGCAAAGAAGCTCCGCCAGCAGTACATCCAAGTGCGGGATGCACTTAATAAAACGGGCAGCTCGGGTAAGGAGAAAGACAAGTTCCCCTGGTATGATGACCTCGATAATGTACTTGGGACAAAACCGGACGTTGATCCGGTGGATGTTGTTGAGTCCCATGAAAGTTCAACATCGTCCGCTTCCAATGATGCTAGCTAGCACAGTTGACCAAGCTACCGCATCTGACACCGATGTTGACGGTGAGTTTATTTCGTTTTTGCACTTACCAATACAAGCACTTATTTCAGAAGTTATGGTGTAACTTTAGGCATAGATTATACTTTGCCATGCCAAATATGACTGCAAGTTAGGTTACTTAACATTAACCAGAAGCAGTTATATTTATTTTTGTGATATTCTCTTTCACACACACACACTGCATTGTTTACATTGCAATATGCATTGAAATATATTTTTATCTGCATTAAAATTACATAAGTAACATAAAGAAATTGTGTTTTTCAATAAACAGTGGGAGATTCAAGCAACATATGTTCTGATGCAGATGTCACAAACACCGTTGCTGATGCAGGAGTGTCTGATGATCCAAGTACACAGAGCAGTGTCAATGAAGAAGGCATCATAGGAGGGAGACTGCCCATTCCTGGAGCCAAAGCTCGAAAAAGAAAGATAACGTCTTGCAAAGCTGATGTTGACATCCAGGCATATATGATGGACAACAGAATGATGCTGACAGAATTGCATAGAGCTGAACAGAGCCAGGTGGCTCAAGAGGCTGCCTGTTTTGAGAGAATATTGAAGGCACAACAGGAGGCTGAGGAGAGAAGATTCCAGGTGATGCAGGCACAGCAACAGGCCACTAACCAGATGTTTCTGCAACTAATGGGCACTCTAGCAAGTGCACTGAATCCTGGTCAGCCTCCACCTCATTCCTGTGCCAGCCTGGACAACGACACCCCCACCAACATCAATCCCTAGTGCTAGGTCCTTGTCCCACCTGTTTCAGCCAACCCAGCCTACTGCCCTGCTGCCAATGAATCATCCACATCACCACCGGCAATCAGAATCTCCATCCACCCAAGATGAACATCCTAGCACTTCATCCATTATACATGACATTAATAGTACACACTACTACAACATGTAGTTTTTTTTTTGTTTTTTTTTTTTGCAATCTAGGAAAGGCTTTGTTTGTGTAGGCCTTAAATGTGCACAGTCATTTTGTTTTTTGAATTATGGAAGAAATTAATGTTTTCTGTTTAGTGTTCTGAAGAATATACTTCAGCAGAAATGACTACTTTGTTTCAGTCCAATGAGGTAAAAGAGTGCCTGCACTGCCACGCTCATACAATGACGATAGGGAGAAAACGTGGGCATCGTGTATCTTGCCTGGTCGCCCAACATTAATATCCCAAAATCTCATCCTATGGTCCAACACATCTTGCAGAATGATGTTGTAATAACAACAGATGAGTTGTCAGGTGGAGCTCTGATCTTAATATGGGTTCCATCTATTGCACCTGCCACCTGAGGGAATCTCCATTTGTCTCGAAAACCCTGTATTATCTGCTTGAACTCTGCTGCGGAGGGATGCTTGATATACAAAGGCTTCATTACCACATTTATGGCAGTCACAACCTCCTGGGTGATAGTGCAACATGTTGATAACCCAACACCAAACAGTTGTGAGATAGACCTGTACTCCAGGTTTGTGGCTAACCTCCCAACACAAATTGCAACTCGAGCCTCTACAGGCACTGCCTGTCTATATTTAGTGTTTTCTCGGGTCAGCCAGGGCTGGAGAATGTCACAAAGTAGTCTGAAGTGGCCTCTTCGCATTCGGAAGTTTTTCAGCCAGTCATCGTCTGTCCAGGTGGCGTTGATGTGGGGCCACCAACTATCTGATATAGGTTTGCAGCTGCTGAAGAGTTTGTGGTCATCTTTTTTCGTTTAGTGATGCACCAAATGTTCTCTTTAGGTGAAAGATCTGGACTGCAGGCAGGTCAATTCAGCACCCATGTAATAACTGCAGTATGTGGTTTTGCATTGTCCTGCTCAAATACACAAGGCCTTCCCTGAAATAGACGTCGTCTGGAGGGGAGCATAAAACCTTGCTCTAAAACCTTTATAAACCTTTCAGCATTCATAGTGCCTTCCAAAACATGCAAGCTGCCCATACTGTATGCACTTATGCACCCCCATACCATCAGAGATGCTGGCTTTTGAACTGAACGCTGATAACACGCTGGAAGGTCTCCCTCCTCTTTAGCCCGGAGGACACTGCGTTCATGATTTCCAACAAGAATGTCAAATTTGGACTCGTCTGACCATAGAACACGTTTCCACTTTGAAACAGTCCATTTTAAATGAGCCTTGGCCCACAGGACACGACGGCGCTTCTGGACCATGTTCACATATGGCTTCCTTTTTGCATGATAGAGCTTTAGTTGGCATCTGCAGATGGCACGGCGGATTGTGTTTACCGACAGTGGTTTCTGGAAGTATTCCTGGGCCCATTTAGTAATGTCAATGACAGAATCATGCCGATGAGTGATGCAGTGTCGCCTGAGGCCCGAAGACCACGGGCATCCAACAAAGGTCTTCAGCCTTGTCCCTTACGCACAGAGGTTTCTCCAGTTTCTCTGAATCTTTTGATGTTATGCACAGTAGATAATGAGATTTGCAAAGCCTTTGCAATTTGATGTTGAGGAACGTTGTTTTTAAAGTATTCCACAATAGCTAATCATGTTACAGACCTGATGTTAACTTAATTAGTTTCTAGATGTACTCCCAGCTGAATCTTTTCAAAATTTCTTGCTTTTTCAGCCCTTTGTTGCCCCTGTGCCAACTTTTTTGAGGCCTGTAGCAGGCATCAAATTTGAAATGAGCTCATTTAGTGGATAAAAGTGTAAAATTTCTCCGTTTAAACATTTATGTTCTCTATGTTCTATTGTGAATAAAATATTGGCGCATGTGATTTGAAAGTCTTTTAGTTTTCATTTTATTCTAATTTAAAAAAAACATTTCCAAAATTCGGGTTGTAATAATTCATAATATTTTGACAGCCCAAAGGGCTGCAGTCCACATTTCCAAGTGCAACATTGTCGTTGTCCATACGGGACATTAAAGAACCATTAATGGAAAAAAGTGTGTTGGTACAGGTGCACTGGAGTGTATTGGGAATATACTAAAGTAATAAACCTTCTGATCAAGTTCATGAATTTCTTTCACCATTTCAAATCCTTGACTATATGTTGTTTACATATCTTTACTTTTGTAACTACTTTATATATTTGACCATGGACCACAAAACCAGTCATATGGGTCCATTTTTTGAAATTGAGATTTATACATAATCAGAATAAACAAGCTTTCCATTGATGTATGGCTTGTTAGGATAGGACAATATTTGGCCGAGATACAACTATTTGAAAATTCATGGATTCTGCATTTCATGGAACATGATCTTTATTTAATATACTAATGATTTTTGGCATAAAAGAAAAATCGATAATTTTGACCCATTTTTGGCTATTGCAAATATACCCGTGCTACTTAAGGCTGTTTTTTGGTCCAGGGTCACATATGTATGTAAAGCTTCTTTGCAACCATGCAAAATTGTGAAAAGCACTATTTGAAGTGTGGTTAAATTATTGAAAAGGTCAAGTTCATAACTATACAAAGTACTGCATCATTATAAATTATTATTATAATTATTTGCAACTCAAAACATTTCTATCTATACTATTTTTATACTCAAGTAGAACTCAAATACGGTGTATTGTATTGTACATTTAATAATAACAGGTCAACAGAGGATTCAACTAAAATAAATTACTGAAGTATTACTTCAATATTTAATAAATTAAATTGTTTTATTTGCAAATCCCCCATTATTACATTTGTGCTGTAGGCAAAAGTTGTGTTTGGAAACTCTGCCCTTACAGCACCTGTTAGAAACATACTGGATGTTTCAATTCATACCTCACATTTTCTTTGGTTTGCCCAAAACGAAAGTCTCATCTTAAAAAAATAATTTCATCATTCTCAGATTTGAAATACATGGTGAGACTTGTGTCTTTAGCTTTCTAGACTCTAAAAATGTGCCAAATCTGCAACACAGATTCCCAATAGTGTGCACTCTAGTGAGTTCAGACGTTTAGCAAAAGTACAGCAAAATTGATTATTGGTGAATTTCAGAGCTCATGAAAGTATACGCTGAGGAGAGACTGACTTATCAAGCCCCCTTCACTGAACATACTGTGTAGCCTATATTTAGGCTGATGTTAAAATCCGATTATTAAAATACTTAAAGACACTTTTAAGGGGCGAAGGAACAAACAAGTATCAATACACAGAATGTGATATTGTCTCTTGTGCCATAGTCTTAGGCGAGAACTCATACAGCAGCCTTGTTACATACATTATATGGCTTTCATACAGCTACAGGATCATAAGATGAGTTCCTTCATTCATCTCTTATTGACACTAGTTGTTGGGCTGAGTGAGCATGGACATGTCATTGGGGTTATGAAGTGGAATCCTCTTTCAAAGGTTTCTTCTGGTTAGTTTATATGGGTATGTATTTGTGAAAATCTCTTTTAACTAGTTTCAAACATGTTGTAGATGGAATTAAGAACCTAGCCAGTATACTTTCTTAAAGATAAATATATATTTCATCCTTCCCCAAATGCATTTATAAAAATGTAAGAATTTTACAAATGAATTTGTAGTGCACTAAGTTTGTGCTAGATGAAAGCATGAAATAACTACAATTTAGAATGTATTTTCAGTTAGTATACGTCAATCTATTTTTAGTATACTTATCATGAAATATATTTTTAATACAATTATGCATATTTATTTTTCACTAGGGTAGTTTGACACCCCTGCAACTGTAAGTAACAAACCGCATCATTTATGAGCTCGTCTCAGTCTCTCTGTACAAATCCATCTGTTACTGATTCTGAAGTCCAATTCAGAGTTTGTTCCTCACATTTCTGTTGTGTGTCTTAATGTGAAGAAGATCCCACACGTGTGCTGCTACGTGAGTTCAGGAGAAGAAACACTCATCCTACCCTAGTGAAAAAAAAATGCTAAGTATTCTTGCAGCCAGACTAATTGTCAGTATACTTTAAGTGTGTTAATGATTAGTTAACTTGAAGTGTGCTATTTTGGAACAACTCATTTTGTACTAAGTATATTTTAATTGTAATTAAATTGTAGTAAAGCATAACTTTAAGTATACTTAGTGCACTTTAAGTATATGCCTGTGTAAGATAATTGCATGCTTGATTAGTGATATTAAAGTGTACTTCTTTGTATTACAAGTACATTACAAATTAATTAAGAGTGTCTTCAAAACACACAAGCAAATATTCCATAAATATATTATTTTTGTGTAAAAATATGCTAATTTGTCCCCAATGCTGAATGCACTTGTTGTCAGGGTCATTACAATAAATAACATGTAACTTCAATAACAGACAGATACACATAATGAACAACTCAAACAGTATTTATTAAAACCTCACATGGTTTTAGCATTGCAAAACAGAACCAAATGCACCATGTTTTTAAATAAAAAGAATGCTGAAAAAAAAAAACATTAAAAAGTTAAAGGGGTCATATGATGCTGCTAAAAAGAGTCCTCTTTATAAAACATACAAACTATAAAAATGTAGCCTAATCCTCATTAAGACAGTATGCATTACATTATGAAGACATTGTGGAACTTCATCCTCAGAGCTGGTGCGTTGATCTTGTGTGTCTAGGGCCCTGCTCTGAGAAAGGGAATTCTTCAGTTTTTGTAACATCTGGTCTCTGGCTGCCTCTTTGATCTTGGTTTGCTTTGCCTGAAAAAAATGTAGGGGGGTAATAAATACAAAAAATTGTTAACATCTTCACAATGTCACATTCATGCTGATATACTGAAATTTGATGTTTTTTTTTTTTCTGATTAGAAAATATTTTGGCAGCAGTCACAATGAATCTTTGTCTGGCCAAAGCTTTATTTGATCATTTATTGTAATATCTGAGATTATTGCTTTGCTAGAGATGGCAGCATGACACACTTTATTTATATGATTAGAACAATGTGAATAAAAATGCTGCATGTCTTTCATGAAACTCATAACTTCATA